AAATTTGGTGGATGTGCTGGAGCATTATCCATTAAGAGAAGACATCTAAGAGGAAGATCCATTTCCTGAAGATAATTTTTAACAGTAGGAGCAAACACTTCTGTGAGCCAATCCATGAATAAAGTCCGAGTTACCCATGCCTTACTATTTGCCTTCCATTGTACAGACAGTTTGGACTTTATCACATTTTTGCTCTTAAAGGCACAGGGATTTTCAGCGTTGTAGACTAAACGTGGCTTGATTTTGAGGTCACCACTTGCATTAACGCAAAATAAAAGAGTAAGTCTGTCCTTCATTGACTTGTGCCTGGGAAGTGCTTTCTCTTCTTGGGTTATGCACGTTTGTCTAGGCATTCTTTTCCAAAAAACACCGGTCTCATCGCAATTAAACACTTGATTCCAGACATATCCTTCACTTTTTACAAACTCTGCGAATTCATCTACAAATGCTTTTGCTGCTTTTTCATCTGAACTTGAAGCCTCCCTGTGTCTTATGACACTGTGAATGCCAGTTCGTCGACGAAACCTATCAAACCACCCTTGGCTCGCTTTAAAGTCCTGCCTGTCTGCACTTGTACTGGGTGTCTGAGTCAGCAAGTCATTGTATAAATTTTTAGCCTTTTCACAAATTATAGCTTCACTAACACTGTCTCCAGCAAGTTGCTTTTCATTGATCCATATTAGCAACAGTTTTTCAACTTCATCCAAAACTTTAGATCTTTGTTTCGATATCACATTTACTCCTTTAGCCACTTTGGCAGCCTTAAATGCTTTTTTGCTTAATAACGCTTAATAATTGTAGAGATAGTCGATTTTGCCACATCATATTCTTTAGCGATGTCAGAAACACAAATGCCATTCTCGTATTTTGCAATAATTTCTTTCTTCAATGCTACACTAAAACGTTTTCTATTTCTACAGTCACTTTTCTCTTTCTTCGGTGCCATATTGATTAAATATACAGTATAAATCACAAAACTAAAAAACGAAGTTTAGCACATTCGAAAAAGCAATGCTTACCTCGCACACACCTAAGAGCAACTGAAATTTGTGAAGTTCCAGAATGGCTGGAAACTATTGGGTTGATGCAAAAGTTCATCCTGTTTTTAGCACCAGCTGGCTAAAAACGCAACAGTGAAGTGTTATTTCTTTTGCATGTGTAAAATTTCGATGTTGTTTGACAAAAGGGATCTCAGCTAGTATTTGAGAATAAAATTGTGTTACTTAGTTGTGTTTTTAACATTTTGTTAAGCATTACAAATGGCAGAAAATAAGGAGCATTTTTGACATATTATGCTTTTTTATTTCCGTAAAGGCAAGAATGCTTCGCAGACACAAAAAAAAAGATATGTTCTGTGTATGGTGAGGGAGCCATTGATGATTCCACGTGCTGTAAGTGGTTCAGAAAGTTTCATGAAAGCAAGCTTACAAATTTGACACAAAAAGCCATTAAGTTCGTTATCCGAATTTTGTTTGTTAACCGATTTGGTCGTTAACCAGGATGTTTGTTAACCAGGGTTCCAGTGTATTTGTTAATTTATTATAGTTGAGATATGAATAATTGAAATAAAGCTACTTTAAAACTCAAAGTCAAAATTAAAAGTTTGAAGTTTTGTTTTTAAAATTTAATAAATTCATTCTTTTTACTTTTGATTTATTTTATTAATTTATTAATGTATTGAAATAATTTATTTAACTTGCTTTACAAGTTGTAGAAGGTAATTAAATTCACTAAGTATTTTGGGTATTTGAAATATGGTTAATATGAATTTGAGAAAAGTGATATTCACTCATTTCTATTAATGATGTATATCATCAATGATAGAATATCTTAATTTGATTCTTTATTTTAAAATTTACCTTTAAGTTAAAATTCTGTTAATGTTAATTTAAATGTGAATCATTATTTTGTTAACAGATGAAATTGTAAAGACAATTTACATGTTATAAACTCACCCAGATTTGAAAATATAAATTATTAATAATTAAACTCAACAGAAATTTGAATAGATACATTTTAAAAAAATTAAATTATTTTTGGCATATGATGAATTTTTGTATTTTAGGTTGAAAGTAATATAGACAATCAAGAAAAACAGGATGAAAATTATGTCATGGTTGATTTGAAAGACTCAAAATTATTATGGGAAGTTGAACCTAGACCAGAATATTCAATGGAAGTAAGTTATTTTGTAAATTTTATATTTGAAAATTATTAGGAAAGTAAGAAATTATTATTATTATGTTGGGTTTAGTGGGTTATACTCGGTTCACACCGGTGGCTGTGTACTATGCCGGACCAGAGTCAAGGCATAGCAACCAAAAACAAAAATTAAATAAGTGTGTCAGTGTCAGTTATTATTATGTTGGGTTTAGTGGGTTATACTCGGTTCACACCGGTGGCTGTGTACTATGCCGGACCAGAGTCAAGGCATAGCAACCAAAACAAAACTAAGATTAAGTAAGTGTGTCAGTGTGTGTGACTGTATTCAGGAATTTCCTAACAATGTGGCATGTATTCAATATAGTGGCCTTCTGTAGTGTGATGTATGTATTTCTACTCAATTGTAATGTTCCCAGGCTTTTATGTAGTGTGTGTGGTATCACACCTGTACAGGAGAGAACAACAGGTACAATAAGCACCCTATCCATCCTCCACAGATGCCTNGATACAATAGCCACAATTATTATTTTAAAAAGTTTACGTTAGGCTTAACATCAACGGAAATTCAACGCGAAGCGACACGCAACGGAGAAAAATTTCAACACGGGATAGGTTAATATATTTTTTCGTACATAATCGGTTATCCGAAAAATAAGTTATTCGAACAACCCCAGTCCCCAATTTATTCGGATAAACGACGCTCTTCTGTATTATTATCCCAAGTAAAAAAATACTTAATACACAATTATAATATGAAAAATTCGGCATCAAAGTTTCGGGTATCTCCTACCCACCTCATAGCTGGTGTAACAATTTCTCACCTCATTCACACTGGGTTAATTGAATAGAATTAATCAATGCACTTTTAACAGTGGGTGAGGTTTAAATAATGCCAATGTTTTTAAAATGAAATGCAAGTGTTGGAAAGAAGGATTCAGCTGAGTAACTATAATGGCTAGTCAATAAGAAAGGAATGTAAATTTGATTTATTAAAATGTTTGCTAAAAATTGCATAATTTTTTATTATCTTATGATATAATCTTTATATATAATTACCTAAATTTAATATTTGTCAATATTACAAAGTTTAGCAAATATTTTTAGTTAAAAGTGATCAATTTTATAACAAGTGCAGCTATAATTTTGTATATCATTTATCAGATATTGTTATGCATTATGAATTATTCTGATATTGTTTGTTAAATTTTTACTGCTTCTGTAGGAAGAAAAATATGTACCAAATATAATACACCACTTTGTTTTTTCATAAATTATGTCACTGTTATACACAGATTAGGAATAAAAACATTTTTTTCATTTTGAATAACCTTCATGGAATTATACATGGTGATGCAAAAGTGAACCTAAGAACAAAACGAAAAAAATCATTATAATTAAATATGTTCTGGGAGTATTTAGAGTTCAGAAGCAGCCCTCAACTAATTAAATATGGGATTATAGGAGTAGTAGTCTGAGAAATATTTCTAAATCTTTAACTGAAGTTATTTTTATTCTATAGAAAAAATAAATTGAGAATGTTGTATGGTAAATGGCCAAATTATTTAAAATCTACTAGCATTGAAGCTTATGATGAATTTATGAAAATAAATAAGAAATTTGTTCCACCAGAATATTCTCATTATATTTCAAAAGAATTAAATTCTAAAATATGCAATCCTTCTAACAATCAATCTGTGCAATTTGAAGATGATTTGAAAAAAGAGGTAAGTAATTGTTTAGTTAATTAAATTTTAATTAAATTAAAATATTACTAATATTAAGATTTTATTTCCAAAACTTTATGAAATGCTTCAGAAAAACTTAAGGTAATGAATTGTTTTTATAATGTAGGAATTATATAGTTTATAGTCATTCTTACTTTAATTATAAATGAAGTATAGCCAATCATTACAGACTTGGAAAAAGTATTATGTAATTATAGTACTTTTTACATTGTAAATATATCATATTAATATATAGAGATGGACACTAGTTAACTACTGATTTAATTACACTACCTAGTACCTAGTTAACTACTCTTCTAGTTAACTAAATATTCCATCATGCTTGAAGGGTGAATTCTATTATATTAGTAGTTTATGTACAGAACCACATAGTATATTGTCAGGATAATACAGTTCCACACAATATTATACATATGGTAGTGGAACACCTAGTTTTATGCCTTTGTTTATGCTTTGTCATTTGTGTCACTAATGTACAGTTAGAAAAATTAGCTGTTGGAAACAACACGTAGTATACTGTTCATTTTTACTGAATTATTCTTATTACTATAATTTTGTGCATTTAATACCTAGGTTCATACTACACACCCTTCAGCTGCATATACCCTGTGGAAAATTGCTAAAATAGAAATAAAATCTTTTGCATAATCTTTTCCAAACTTTCAGAACAGCTGTTTAAAGCATTAACTGGTATGCAGTAACCAATTTTAATGTTTAAGATGGTACCTTCTAAAGAAGGTATTGAATCTTTTTCTTATCCCAGAATGGACTCCATTCTATCCTTATGGGCCAATTACAAAAACAAGGACTGACTAGCTTAAGTCCTAAAACTAAACTCATGGCTTAAATTGCTTTTTGCAAACAAGTACTGGTAGTAGCCATAGTTTAACAAAACTACAGCTTAATTGATGTTATCAAAATTAAAGTTACTCTTACCTGCTACATTGAAATTTTTAACCAATCAGCACTTTGATGTCAGAGAAAATGGCAGAAAATATGAACATGTGTGTAGTAAAGTTAGTGAAGAATTTTTTTAGTAGAATAGAAAACAGTTTTAATAGACTTTATCAAGAAATACAGGAAAACAGGATAAATACCGGCAATACAGAAAAAGGATATGACATAAATTTGATAAATGGGAAAATCATATGGCAGAAAATTCATAAAGGATTTTTCTCTTCCATTTTTCCTAAGAGCAGCTCAAAGTCTGGGCAATCAAAAGTTTTAAATAATTATCTCAAATTACCAATTGGTAGAGATAAACTAGGCTTATCAAACTGTATTGGAGCTTTAGAAAATAAGAGATCCCAACAATAAAAGACTAATGTGGCCTTCACTAAACTGTCTTCAGCCACTATTACATAAATACTGATAACTGCAATGTTTAACTTACTGTAATTATTAAAGATTACATGGACATATACTGTTAACTGTTTATACAGTCATCTGGTTACAAATTCTTCTATATAATCTACCAACAGTTCACATAGACTGTTGGTAGATTCTCAATTCATTATTTTAAAAATTGGGAGATAGAACAATTGTATTTTCAAGTGATAACATCTATAACATTATTTTTCTTTGAAAAAATTTAATAAAAATCTGTTAAATTAACACAATGCTAAGAAAAAAATTTGTATATTTCTGAAATAACTCCTCTTAAAATAAATAATAAATATAAATAATTAGCTTAAACTGATGAAAAATACATTTATTATTTTGTTTTAAAATTTTTAATTATTATAAATATATTCAGATAAAGAATGGAAAAGTGTACTAATGGTCATATTTGCTTAATATTAGATTGTATCAATCCTAATTAGGGATGCACATTGCTATCATTTTAAGTAAATCTCAATTAAATATTGATAAAACTGTTTTCATTTGGAAAAAGTTCTTTTCAATAGTCATATCAGGCAAAAGAGAAATCAAATAATTCTCTAAAATAACAATTGTTAATTAAATTTCTGCTATACTATGAGTTAGAATTATTTTTCCCGTTTAATTAAATTGTTTTTTTGTTCAAATTGATCTTATAAGATAGATTGAAGTTGAAATCACATATTAACAAATTTTAAAATAGATATCGGCTATAAAAATTTATTTGATAAATAATAGTGCTAAGGCATATATCATTTTTAAGTGTACATCAAACATTAAAACTTAGATATTAATGTATTATTGATGTGCTTATTAGTTTGTTTTTATCTTTTTATACAGATGTTTGTATAAAAAGATAAAATAATGAGGTCACTACACATCAAAGTCAATTTTATAATTTTTTAGTATTAAATTGTTGCTTAATAATAATCCATAATTTGTTGTTCATTATGGTATTGTTTTTCCAAATTTATTATACAAGGTGATTATGATTAAAGTGTAGTTGTTCAGAGTTCTCTGTAAGAGAAATTTAAACAGATTTCAGCTACTTTTGATGTATGCACTGACTAAGTATGCAGTTTTAATTTCTGGGTAAAAAATTTTACTTCAAAATTCAACATAGCAAAATTTGACTGTTTCCTTAATTTTCATTAGTAAATGTATTTACAGTAATATGTATTTCAGGAGTTAAGAAACAAAATGCAATAATTTTATTTCAATTACAGATGTGAAATGTGGAACTGATGATTACATAAAGGGTACAGAGCCTTAGCTTTTGTCTCCATGTTCTGAAAACTGCATTTGCTGCACAACATGTCACTTAATGGTGAAATGACCTGTGTGAAGTTGTAGCACATGGTAAAATTGTCTTTTACAACAGCTAGGTTGAGAACATTGCCTTGTAAACACGGCCCTTTAAGTAGTCCTGAATCAAAAGTCACAGGTTGCAGCTGTGATATTGGAAATGATTGTCTAATCATTCTCTCATGTAAAAAAATTGTTACTGTAAGGCTTGCACATTTAGGCCAGTATGTGGGATGTACCATCTTGTATAAAGATTGTGGTATTCAGACAATATCTCTGTTGCAATGCTGAAATGACAGTTTTGGAACATCTCTCTGCATCTAGCAGCATTAACGGAACAGATCACTGATCCAGATGCAGAGTATTCTTGAAAAAAATAACAGCTAAATGATAAAATTTACTTAATCATTCATTACTTGTTAAAGTGAGCATTATGACTGTTTACCTATTGAAGAATTGTGAAGAATGTTTTGCAACTCCCCTTTTACACTCAAAATTTATTATAAAACATAAGAAATAAGCACATTAAGAGGACAGAAGAGGCAGATTTTGCCCTAGCTGCTGAATTTTGAAATAAAATTTTTTTCCAAAAATTCAAAATTTTATAGTTGGAACCAGTGTATACCAAATTTGGCTGAGACTTGCTGAATAGTTTTTTATATACAGGATCTGACCATCTCTTTAATTATGATCACCCTGTAGATTGATGAAATGACAAAAAAGTTGTGTATGTAAAATATTTTACAATTACATTAATTTTAACCGAACATTTTTAAAAATTAACATATATTATATTTTTGGAAATCTTTTAAATTTAACATGATAATGATAAATTTTTTGTTTTCGTTGCACTATTATGCCATTAAAAAACAAAAAATGATAAATATAAATTATTAAAACTGATTAATTAGTAATCTATAATTAATTAGTGAAACAATAATTGATATATCCTTTAATTTTTCGAAAGCGTTCAACATTATATAAATACTTCAAATTCAAAAGAAATAAATTTGTGTCATATATACAATTACAGTGGCAGATCCAGAAGTAACCAAGGGGAATAATCCAAAAATCAAAAATATTTGAATAATTAACAAGTGTCTTTTATTAAAATGTACACAATGATTGTAGTATTGTAGATGGTTTGATAAACCATATTTGCTATTGTACATTTTAAAGTATCAAACATTCCTAAAACCTTAATATTTAAGATCAGTGAAGAATTCTAATTAAATATGTTACCATATTTAATTAAAGTTCTTCATTGGTCTTATATTAATTAAGATTTTTGGAGTGTTTGATTCATTTACACCAGTGTTGTGAAAAAATTTTTTGAACATTTTAAAGTTTGAACAAATAAATTTTATTCTTTTTTTTTTTTTCATTGGCAATTTGTGACAAAGAAAAAAGCACATTAGATCTGAATGTTTTTGAATTTTTGTTTTCTTAAATAAAAAGACACATCTGCTGCACATTTCCTGGATATCCACCTTCAACTTGATGGCACTAGGGTGGTAACGAAAGTACATTACAAATCATGCTATAGGCCATTGTTCATCCCAGCCAATTCTGCGGATCCATACTCCTATAAGATCTCAGCATTCCGTGCCCTAACAAAGCAGGCTTTTACACACCACACTAGATCTGAAGACAGAGGCGGAGTTGAAACTCATTCAGAACATAGCAGTACAGCACAGATATAGCAAGAACCTGATACACAACCTTTCTCGCGCATACTCCACATGAATAGCCGCATGCGACACTTCTAACACATAAGTAGCGACCCACGGAACACACAACATAAATAGCACACAGTCTTGTGCAGTGGTTGAGTACAACCATCACCTCAACTCCGTTTACAGGGAGATTGCCACCCATACTAATACTAAGATTGCATACAAGAGGCCCAGCACTGTATATGGGCTACTCCGCAGTGGCAAAGATAAGATCAATAAAAAGCAAGCACCGGGTGTTTACATGGTTCCTCTCTGGGACAACAGGTTTCAAAGGGAATTAGTTTATATTGGGTCCACAAAATGCTCTTTGAATAAAAGATTGCAGGAACATAAATACAACATTGTTAATAAAAGGCACACCACCGCCCTATCAACATATGCCACTGAACCCGGCATAAGAGCTGACCTACTCTTTTCTCCCCTAATGGGACCAGCTGCCCCTTTAAGTTTACAGTCCTCCCGGAAGACTGTAGCTAATACCAGCAGTGGTATTAGGTCCTTCAAAATTCTCTATTCCAAATTTTGCTGGAAATCTTTATCGCTGGATACTTCACTGTGGACTCACTACTTCAACCACTTTGAATCATCCAAAAGACGTTAGGTTAGGTGGGGCTGGGTCGCATACTGCAACTTTTCTATCAACCTTTCCTTTCTTCTTGGACATTGTAAAATTAGGTAAGTTAGCAAAGCACAACACAAAATATAACACACAGAATAAAGTCTAAACATAACAAATAAAACGTAACTTTATGAGCCCTCACAAGGGACTAGATCTTATGAGCCCTACTTGGGACTTCTATGAGCCCATTTAGGGACACTAACCCCAGACCACCCTTCATAACATAACATTTTTGGCCTCTTTGTGCTCTCCAAGCGGTAAGGAGCCTAAAACCATAAATAAAAAATTAAAAAAAGCTGACCTACATGAGGCCAAACTGATCAAACTTTCTCACGTGTGGAACACCTATGAAACCTGGAGGCACTTGAAATTTACAAAGCCTGGTTACGTACCAATTGCATTAACTCTAATGATGCCGTCAATGTGTCACACGCTTGGAAGTACCACTATGAAGGAACAGGCAATGCCCATACCAGCAGTTAGAAACCACATCCCCATTTGGTGTATTTATATATCAATAAATGTATGTATTACATAAACCATTCCATTGCCATGGCAATGCACATGCATAACTGTTTATTCTTTTAAAATCCATTTGTGGTGTTCCATTTTTTGAAAATAATTTTATAATTTTTGTTCTACGCATTCACTTGTTTGAATCTCACTGGTTTTTTAAACCTGAAGAAGACCGAAAGTAC